GTCCCAGCAAGTGAAAGTGCCGTGCACGTCCCAGCAAGTGAAAGTGCCGTGCACGTCCCAGCAAGTGAAAGTGCCGTGCACGTCCCAGCAAGTGAAAGTGCCGTGCACGTCCCAGCAAGTGAAAGTGCCGTGCACGTCCCAGCAAGTGAAAGTGCCGTGCACGTCCCAGCAAGTGAAAGTGCCGTGCACGTCCCAGCAAGTGAAAGTGCCGTGCACGTCCCAGCAAGTGAAAGTGCCGTGCACGTCCCAGCAAGTGAAAGTGCCGTGCACGTCCCAGCAAGTGAAAGTGCCGTGCACGTCCCAGCAAGTGAAAGTGCCGTGCACGTCCCAGCAAGTGAAAGTGCCGTGCACGTCCCAGCAAGTGAAAGTGCCGTGCACGTCCCAGCAAGTGAAAGTGCCGTGCACGTCCCAGCAAGTGAAAGTGCCGTGCACGTCCCAGCAAGTGAAAGTGCCGTGCACGTCCCAGCAAGTGAAAGTGCCGTGCACGTCCCAGCAAGTGAAAGTGCCGTGCACGTCCCAGCAAGTGAAAGTGCCGTGCACGTCCCAGCAAGTGAAAGTGCCGTGCACGTCCCAGCAAGTGAAAGTGCCGTGCACGTCCCAGCAAGTGAAAGTGCCGTGCACGTCCCAGCAAGTGAAAGTGCCGTGCACGTCCCAGCAAGTGAAAGTGCCGTGCACGTCCCAGCAAGTGAAAGTGCCGTGCACGTCCCAGCAAGTGAAAGTGCCGTGCACGTCCCAGCAAGTGAAAGTGCCGTGCACGTCCCAGCAAGTGAAAGTGCCGTGCACGTCCCAGCAAGTGAAAGTGCCGTGCACGTCCCAGCAAGTGAAAGTGCCGTGCACGTCCCAGCAAGTGAAAGTGCCGTGCACGTCCCAGCAAGTGAAAGTGCCGTGCACGTCCCAGCAAGTGAAAGTGCCGTGCACGTCCCAGCAAGTGAAAGTGCCGTGCACGTCCCAGCAAGTGAAAGTGCCGTGCACGTCCCAGCAAGTGAAAGTGCCGTGCACGTCCCAGCAAGTGAAAGTGCCGTGCACGTCCCAGCAAGTGAAAGTGCCGTGCACGTCCCAGCAAGTGAAAGTGCCGTGCACGTCCCAGCAAGTGAAAGTGCCGTGCACGTCCCAGCAAGTGAAAGTGCCGTGCACGTCCCAGCAAGTGAAAGTGCCGTGCACGTCCCAGCAAGTGAAAGTGCCGTGCACGTCCCAGCAAGTGAAAGTGCCGTGCACGTCCCAGCAAGTGAAAGTGCCGTGCACGTCCCAGCAAGTGAAAGTGCCGTGCACGTCCCAGCAAGTGAAAGTGCCGTGCACGTCCCAGCAAGTGAAAGTGCCGTGCACGTCCCAGCAAGTGAAAGTGCCGTGCACGTCCCAGCAAGTGAAAGTGCCGTGCACGTCCCAGCAAGTGAAAGTGCCGTGCACGTCCCAGCAAGTGAAAGTGCCGTGCACGTCCCAGCAAGTGAAAGTGCCGTGCACGTCCCAGCAAGTGAAAGTGCCGTGCACGTCCCAGCAAGTGAAAGTGCCGTGCACGTCCCAGCAAGTGAAAGTGCCGTGCACGTCCCAGCAAGTGAAAGTGCCGTGCACGTCCCAGCAAGTGAAAGTGCCGTGCACGTCCCAGCAAGTGAAAGTGCCGTGCACGTCCCAGCAAGTGAAAGTGCCGTGCACGTCCCAGCAAGTGAAAGTGCCGTGCACGTCCCAGCAAGTGAAAGTGCCGTGCACGTCCCAGCAAGTGAAAGTGCCGTGCACGTCCCAGCAAGTGAAAGTGCCGTGCACGTCCCAGCAAGTGAAAGTGCCGTGCACGTCCCAGCAAGTGAAAGTGCCGTGCACGTCCCAGCAAGTGAAAGTGCCGTGCACGTCCCAGCAAGTGAAAGTGCCGTGCACGTCCCAGCAAGTGAAAGTGCCGTGCACGTCCCAGCAAGTGAAAGTGCCGTGCACGTCCCAGCAAGTGAAAGTGCCGTGCACGTCCCAGCAAGTGAAAGTGCCGTGCACGTCCCAGCAAGTGAAAGTGCCGTGCACGTCCCAGCAAGTGAAAGTGCCGTGCACGTCCCAGCAAGTGAAAGTGCCGTGCACGTCCCAGCAAGTGAAAGTGCCGTGCACGTCCCAGCAAGTGAAAGTGCCGTGCACGTCCCAGCAAGTGAAAGTGCCGTGCACGTCCCAGCAAGTGAAAGTGCCGTGCACGTCCCAGCAAGTGAAAGTGCCGTGCACGTCCCAGCAAGTGAAAGTGCCGTGCACGTCCCAGCAAGTGAAAGTGCCGTGCACGTCCCAGCAAGTGAAAGTGCCGTGCACGTCCCAGCAAGTGAAAGTGCCGTGCACGTCCCAGCAAGTGAAAGTGCCGTGCACGTCCCAGCAAGTGAAAGTGCCGTGCACGTCCCAGCAAGTGAAAGTGCCGTGCACGTCCCAGCAAGTGAAAGTGCCGTGCACGTCCCAGCAAGTGAAAGTGCCGTGCACGTCCCAGCAAGTGAAAGTGCCGTGCACGTCCCAGCAAGTGAAAGTGCCGTGCACGTCCCAGCAAGTGAAAGTGCCGTGCACGTCCCAGCAAGTGAAAGTGCCGTGCACGTCCCAGCAAGTGAAAGTGCCGTGCACGTCCCAGCAAGTGAAAGTGCCGTGCACGTCCCAGCAAGTGAAAGTGCCGTGCACGTCCCAGCAAGTGAAAGTGCCGTGCACGTCCCAGCAAGTGAAAGTGCCGTGCACGTCCCAGCAAGTGAAAGTGCCGTGCACGTCCCAGCAAGTGAAAGTGCCGTGCACGTCCCAGCAAGTGAAAGTGCCGTGCACGTCCCAGCAAGTGAAAGTGCCGTGCACGTCCCAGCAAGTGAAAGTGCCGTGCACGTCCCAGCAAGTGAAAGTGCCGTGCACGTCCCAGCAAGTGAAAGTGCCGTGCACGTCCCAGCAAGTGAAAGTGCCGTGCACGTCCCAGCAAGTGAAAGTGCCGTGCACGTCCCAGCAAGTGAAAGTGCCGTGCACGTCCCAGCAAGTGAAAGTGCCGTGCACGTCCCAGCAAGTGAAAGTGCCGTGCACGTCCCAGCAAGTGAAAGTGCCGTGCACGTCCCAGCAAGTGAAAGTGCCGTGCACGTCCCAGCAAGTGAAAGTGCCGTGCACGTCCCAGCAAGTGAAAGTGCCGTGCACGTCCCAGCAAGTGAAAGTGCCGTGCACGTCCCAGCAAGTGAAAGTGCCGTGCACGTCCCAGCAAGTGAAAGTGCCGTGCACGTCCCAGCAAGTGAAAGTGCCGTGCACGTCCCAGCAAGTGAAAGTGCCGTGCACGTCCCAGCAAGTGAAAGTGCCGTGCACGTCCCAGCAAGTGAAAGTGCCGTGCACGTCCCAGCAAGTGAAAGTGCCGTGCACGTCCCAGCAAGTGAAAGTGCCGTGCACGTCCCAGCAAGTGAAAGTGCCGTGCACGTCCCAGCAAGTGAAAGTGCCGTGCACGTCCCAGCAAGTGAAAGTGCCGTGCACGTCCCAGCAAGTGAAAGTGCCGTGCACGTCCCAGCAAGTGAAAGTGCCGTGCACGTCCCAGCAAGTGAAAGTGCCGTGCACGTCCCAGCAAGTGAAAGTGCCGTGCACGTCCCAGCAAGTGAAAGTGCCGTGCACGTCCCAGCAAGTGAAAGTGCCGTGCACGTCCCAGCAAGTGAAAGTGCCGTGCACGTCCCAGCAAGTGAAAGTGCCGTGCACGTCCCAGCAAGTGAAAGTGCCGTGCACGTCCCAGCAAGTGAAAGTGCCGTGCACGTCCCAGCAAGTGAAAGTGCCGTGCACGTCCCAGCAAGTGAAAGTGCCGTGCACGTCCCAGCAAGTGAAAGTGCCGTGCACGTCCCAGCAAGTGAAAGTGCCGTGCACGTCCCAGCAAGTGAAAGTGCCGTGCACGTCCCAGCAAGTGAAAGTGCCGTGCACGTCCCAGCAAGTGAAAGTGCCGTGCACGTCCCAGCAAGTGAAAGTGCCGTGCACGTCCCAGCAAGTGAAAGTGCCGTGCACGTCCCAGCAAGTGAAAGTGCCGTGCACGTCCCAGCAAGTGAAAGTGCCGTGCACGTCCCAGCAAGTGAAAGTGCCGTGCACGTCCCAGCAAGTGAAAGTGCCGTGCACGTCCCAGCAAGTGAAAGTGCCGTGCACGTCCCAGCAAGTGAAAGTGCCGTGCACGTCCCAGCAAGTGAAAGTGCCGTGCACGTCCCAGCAAGTGAAAGTGCCGTGCACGTCCCAGCAAGTGAAAGTGCCGTGCACGTCCCAGCAAGTGAAAGTGCCGTGCACGTCCCAGCAAGTGAAAGTGCCGTGCACGTCCCAGCAAGTGAAAGTGCCGTGCACGTCCCAGCAAGTGAAAGTGCCGTGCACGTCCCAGCAAGTGAAAGTGCCGTGCACGTCCCAGCAAGTGAAAGTGCCGTGCACGTCCCAGCAAGTGAAAGTGCCGTGCACGTCCCAGCAAGTGAAAGTGCCGTGCACGTCCCAGCAAGTGAAAGTGCCGTGCACGTCCCAGCAAGTGAAAGTGCCGTGCACGTCCCAGCAAGTGAAAGTGCCGTGCACGTCCCAGCAAGTGAAAGTGCCGTGCACGTCCCAGCAAGTGAAAGTGCCGTGCACGTCCCAGCAAGTGAAAGTGCCGTGCACGTCCCAGCAAGTGAAAGTGCCGTGCACGTCCCAGCAAGTGAAAGTGCCGTGCACGTCCCAGCAAGTGAAAGTGCCGTGCACGTCCCAGCAAGTGAAAGTGCCGTGCACGTCCCAGCAAGTGAAAGTGCCGTGCACGTCCCAGCAAGTGAAAGTGCCGTGCACTACTGTAAACCCAGAGACATTCACGGTTTTCGAGGTGGGTGTGAAATCGTGAAAGTAAGTAGGCGCGAAACGCGACGAAACTATAGACTCGAGTCGCTCATCAAATTGACTCTAATCGCAAACGTTTGCAGGTGCAAAATGGTCTGTCATCACAACTCGCGAACTAAAACGGGCACAAACGATTCCGGGTTTACATGTATGGATGGCCATACCATGGGAGTCGTTGCTGGTGCATGCACCTATTCCACTCAACACACTCCAACAGAAGAGACCGATTCGAAAACTTCAGCACGTTCAGTAACTGTTAGGAAAGAGAAACATCATGGAAACCCTTCACATTCATGGCATACAACTACAACGGTATGCTATTGACAGGCAATGTATTGTTACCACAAAGTCATTTTTGGGGCATTTAGCCAGGTTAGCCCAATCAGAGGCCATCCCGCCGTATGAAAGAGAATTTAAAAATGGGGAGGAAAAAAGGAAGCTGCAGCGCTCATCTGAGCCAAACAATACATCACCAACATGTAGCCAACCCTTTCCAACTGGAACCCTCGGCCACTACTGGAGTTAACATTATTTACCACTGTGTTAAAATTACAAATACTATGCAGCTACAAACCAGGAAGACATTATCTTTTAAGGTGCCACGGTTTTGAAAAAAAAGCTGCAACGAATGATCCACTGACTGAGACTGCGACCAGTTTGTTTGCGGCTTTCCTGGCTGGGCAAGTTGGACGATAGATAGCTACACTTCGGTAGAGTCAAGATCACCAACATCTTCCCAGGCCACGTCACGTGAGTATTGCTTTTCTGCAGCACAATGGCAAAGCAGTTGACAACAGGACTAGATCGATCTAACGTACGTGTAGGTCACGGATGTGTTCCAGCCAATGACTACCGTAAAAGCCCGTGTATAGGCCCCGGGCGTATAGAATAGCAGCCTCGATTTCCTGGGCGTATACAAGGGCACGGGCATTATTTCGGAACCGGGCTTATACTTGGAATACAAACATTGAAATTCTCCCCTTGCTCAATAGCTGTATCCATTTCATCTTTTTGGCTGAGCATGGACACTATAAATAATACAGTATACTCGCTTCAATGAACCAGAAACAGTGTTCTGGTTGGGAAAAGCGATCCTGAAACACATCCATCAACATAGCAGTAGGTACTTGTATTGGGTGTCGGCACCTGTACATGTACTGGTATTTCCGGCACACCTGGACGTATACATGGGCATGGGCGCTAGTTTGAAACAAAAGCGTTGACTTCCCCTGACTGGGTGTGTACACGGAGGGTGGGTGTTATTTCGAGTGGGGGTATACACGGGCTTTTACGGTATCTCTCTAAACTAGCCTCATCATGTGGTCGAAAGAAAGCATTGCACCAATGACATATGCAACGTTGAATATTGCCCATTTTTGGTCAAATACCCCATCTGGCTACACCACCTAAAAGCCCAATGCTATGGCCTTGGAAAGTATAGAAGTTTGAAGACAATGCACTGTCTACGAGTACACGGATGGCAGCTTACTCTGTGTTGTTGCACGTTGCACGCCCTCGTTGTTCTGTGCAAATGCTTGCGTCCAGGCTGTCACACACAACTGCAGGATCTGACTTTCCACAGCAGCCACCTCTGCTTTACGGCCATAGAGATGAATGCTAGCAGTGCCGCTGAATACGGCCACTACATCGTGCATGCCAGCCTGCTTGCGGATACGTCCGTGGTCATCTTGAGACAGAAGGTGCAGATCTTCATCATCCACGCGGCGACACGTTAGCGTGTGGCCAACGATTCTGTTCACGTCGGCTTTCGCATCCCGCACAGCATTGCTGCTGGATCCCAGCAGCCTGAATCTGATCTCCTCTTGGGCACGAACGACTTTGGATGCTCCCGGGTCTCGGCTGACATGCTCCATCTTGGCTGGCGCTGCTGATACTGGGCTGGGTGTTTCATGGCAAGAGTGTTTTCTCTTGGGGTTCTCTGACACAGCCATCGAGGAGCTGACGTTGGCAGCTGAACCAGCAGTCAGTGCTGGGTAGTGCTTGATAGCATCCATGAACACTTGGACGCAAGCATCCTGGAAGATCACCAGAGAGATGGACTTGAGTTCCTTAGATGTGTCTCGCTTCGCAGCATGTTCAGCAATAGCTGCCAGTATGGAATCAGCACAATCGCTCGTCGAGAATCCTAGCCCGCCTGCACCAAGGGCCGGGAAAGCAATGCTGTTGCAGTTGAGACGGTCTGCCTCGACCAGACACTCGGAAACAAGCGATTTCAGAAAGTCGCGAGGATACATAGTTCTGGCTGCGTACTCCATCACAGCATGAATGATGAACTTGCAAGGCAGCTTACCACCAGGTGTGCTGCAGACTTGCCCACACCTGATGATCCTGCTTGACTTGACCTTATCCAGCGCAGCCTGGACAGTGTTACCAGCTTTTTGAGCCACAATCTTGGAGAGCATGGCGCTCTGCATTCTCAAATCTGGCATTGCTGTGATCACAATGATGTCCACATTCTCCTGTGTAATGTCACCGCTTTTGACGCTGACCTGCACCGGGCAGCTTGGCTTGTCCGTACTCCTAGCAAGCGCTGTGCTAGTCCGCTGGGCCGTGTCCTTGTGTGTTGGCTGAAAGAGCACCACATCACGTCCAGGTTGCACAGCACGTCCGGGTTGCAGTGTAAGCACTCTAGATACACCGTCACTGGGCGTGTCGCCTGCGTGCGTTGTTAGCAGCTTGCCAGCGACTGTTCTGAACTGGCTGAGGACGACCTCGTCATGTATGCACAGGACAATCCTCTGAACTGATGTGTTCGGATTCTCTCTGGCAAACTGCCGAGCAGCACCGATGAGAAGCTCAGCAGAGCGACGAGGAGGAAAGGCATTCCGACCAGCACCAAGTGATGGAAATGCTATGGACGATATGCTGTACTTGCTAGCATGTCTTAAGATATCTCCCACTATCTTGCCCAGATCCTGGATGCAGAAGACAGTCAAGAAGCATAAAGAGACAACAGAGAAGAATGATCTGCCTTAGCGTAATATAAAGTGTTTCTTGCCCAAAAGTCTCTAGATAGTTTATGCATGTTTCTAGGCAAAAGGACCATGCTTGCCTTTGTAAAGGTGTGGCCTCGGATTGGGATGGTCTACGATCAAACCAAGACTTCACACAGTACATGTATGATGTAAGCGCATAATACGACTTTCTAAGAGCAACATAGGCAGTAAGACGAAGCCAGGCAAATTGGCCAGGCACTTGCTAATGACAGCCCACATAAATCTAGTTTGATTCCTATCGTGTCAGCAGCTCAGCGCTCAGCCTGTTTAGCTAACACGCTGGCACTTGGCCTGTGTACCTTATCTGCTCCAGCGTCGGTACAGTGCGGCACAACGCAATGGTACACTATGCTGGTAGCTAGGTTGTAGCCAGCCGTCACATGAAAACTTCCCACCGGCACTGGCCCATGCTTTGCGACGCGCACGGTGCAGTCGCGCTGCAAGCCGCTACCAGCCGCCTTGCTTATTGCCTGCGAGGCTGCACCGGAGACAGACATGTTCAGCTGAGAGCCACATGAGTTCACTATGGCGTTGCTCTGCAGTCGTAGGAAAGACAAAACGAAACAAAGAAATCAGTACAGAGCAGAATGGCTGCAAAAGGAGCTTGGAATGAAAGGCTTGGGTTGGCATACAGAATCCTAGTCTTGGTGGCCTGATTGTTTTGTGGCGATTCTTTGCTGGTACGTGAAAAGATAACTAGTGTGTTTTTTTAGTTTCCCAGCAATACTGGTCACAGGTAGCTTACTAGGGCTAAGCGCCGGATTGTGAGAGGTTGGGGTAGATGATAAACCGGGCGCTGGGCAGTAATTCATCTCAAGGACAAGTTCACAATGATACTGACTTGGGATGAACGTTTCAATCAGCACAATCAGGCCCCCCCCCCCCCCCCCTACAGTCCATTCAGAAAAAGATGATATCCTAGCTTTTGGCCATAAATGGGTCAAATTTTGAGTTTTTGTCACAATTTTTTTGGCAATCCCCCATGGAATGCTCTTCCAATTGTGTTTTTGAAGTCTATTTCTCCAAAGAGCAAGCCATAACAAGAATAATATTTCGGCCAGGTTTTGCCCCCAAAGCACTGAATTGCGTCAAAACCATGAAAATCAAACCCCTGCACTCCACTTGCAGAACAGTACATTTGCGGTTCAAACCCCAGTCGAGGTACCTTTTTTGGACCCCTTTTCAAGTTACGAATCTCGAAACGCTGGCAAAATCACTAAACACGGGAGCTCTCCAGAGCCAGCACTCATCTTTTTTCCTGAATGGACGCGCCCCCCCCCCCCTCCTCCACGCGTCAGTTGGGCCTGACTCGGAGGGCGAACATGAGTCAACGTGTCATTCTATACTCGTTTCACGAGTTGCTAAACCCTGCTCTATTCCCATCAGTCACCACTGGTCCAAAGTACAGTGACCCAGACCACTGGCCCACTGGCCCGGCCTAGTCATGGCCTAGTCATGGCCTAGTCATGGCCTAGTCATGGCATTGCGTTGCAGCAAGTGGTGGTGATGGCTGTGGTGGTCACCGGATGAACTTGGTCTACCTAATGTACCTTGTGACAGATACCCCCCCCCCCCCCCCGTCTCCTGCCCGGTATGGAGTATTACTTTGTGGATCCAATTTAGGCTATTTAGTGGAGAGATATGTGCAGCTCTTATCTACACCCCTATGGCTCCGTGCATTGAGACTTACACTGCATTCGGCTATGCATCCTTGCTTCACGACAATCGATGTCTTTCCGACATGAAACAGATGTTGCTGATCATCATCAGATGTATAGAACTGAGCCGCCGCTGCAGCAGCAGCTCTAGCAGTGGGTTTCAATGCCGAGTGGACAGTAGTGGCCGATGGCAAGTGGTTTTTGAGCTTCTTCAAGAGGCCCCTTGATTTCGATTTCTTGCCCTGCTCGCCTTTCGTTGTCCCAATGTTCTGATGAGAGTCGGTGGTATGTTCAAACCTTCTAGTAGAACTACGCACAGCTTCTTCCGCAAAAACACTCTGGTGCCGGGATGATGCCGTTTCAAGCTGCTCCTTGAGAGCAAAAAGAATGGATTCGTTGATGTCGATGAAGATCACATTGCGTAGTCGACTGTCTGCGTGTGTCCGACACCACTCGACAGCTGCGTTGGCAAGCTGAGTTGCACAGACCTGCGCCGGGAAGCCGAAAATTCCAGAGCTGATTGCAGGAATTGCAACACTTTCCAATTGGCTGGCTTCATCCAGAATGTTGGAAATGCACTTGTACAGCTCCGAAGTGACTCGTTGCGGAGAGGTAGTGCTCCATCTTGGACCAACGGCATGTAAGATCATCTGACATGGCAGCTTCCCAACCACTTTGCTAGCGTACACTTCACTGACAGATAATGGTCCATTTCGGCGGATGAAGTCATTGCTGTCTTGTTGGATGCTATGCCCGCCTGCACGAGATATGGCAGCCGCCACTCCACCACCATGGCCTAGATGTTCATTGCAAGCATTGGCAATAGCTGAGGAAGGGAACTTGGTGATGTCGCCCTTGCATACCAGTATGTCTTTGCCACGGCATGCACGCCTCTTCAGCAAGATGTCTGCATGTTGGCCAAACTTCTCAGTCACATCATCTTCGTCAATACTCCCATCGGAGTCGCTGCTGCTGCTGCTGCTGTCAAGGCTGTAACCGTTCACACTGCTGTTGTGACGTGCTCCAATAGCTTCATCACGTCCTGTAGCTGAGGAGTGCGGTGGTTTGTCCTGGATCTCGCTCTCACCAGATGTGGCCATTTGAACCTGCTCTTTGAGAGCAAAAAGAATGGATTCATTGATGTCGATGAAGATCACATTGCGTAGTCGACTGTCTGCATGTGTCCAAAACCACTCAACAGCTGCGTTGGCAAGCTGAGTTGCACAGACCTGCTCCGGGAAGCCGAAAATTCCAGAGCTGATTGCAGGAATTGCAACACTTTCCAAATGGCTGGCTTCATCCAGAATGTTGGAAATGCACTTGTACAGCTCCGAAGTGACTCGTTGCGGAGAGGTAGTGCTCCATCTTGGACCAACAGCATGTAAGATCATCTGACATGGCAGCTTTCCAACCACTTTGCTAGCGTACACTTCACTGACAGATAATGGTCCATTTCGGCGGATGAAGGCATTGCTGTCTTGTTGGATGCTAGGCCCGCCTGCACGAGATATGGCAGCCGCCACTCCACCACCATGTCTCAGATGTTCATTGCACGCATTGGCGATAGCTGAGGAAGGGAACTTGGTGATGTCACCCTTGCAGACCAGTATGTGTTTGCCACGGCATGCACGCCTCTTCAGCAAGATGTCTGCGTGTTGGCCAAACTTCTCAGTCACATCATCTTCGTCAATACTCCCATCGGAGTCGCTGCTGCTGCTGCTGTCAAGGCTGTAACCGTTCACACTGCTGTTGTGACGTGCTCCAATAGCTTCATCACGTCCTGTAGCTGAGGAGTGCGGTGGTTTGTCCTGGATCTCGCTCTCACCAGATGTGGCCGTTTGAACCTGCTCTTTGAGAGCAAAAAGAATGGATTCATTGATGTCGATGAAGATCACATTGCGTAGTCGACTGTCTGCATGTGTCCGACACCACTCAACAGCTGCGTTGGCAAGCTGAGTTGCACAGACCTGCGCCGGGAAGCCGAAAATTCCAGAGCTGATTGCAGGAATTGCAACACTTTCCAAATGGCTGGCTTCATCCAGAATGTTGGAAATGCACTTGTACAGCTCCGAAGTGACTCGTTGCGGAGAGGTAGTGCTCCATCTTGGACCAACAGCATGTAAGATCATCTGACATGGCAGCTTCCCAACCACTTTGCTAGCGTACACTGCAGTGACAGATAATGGTCCATTTCGGCGGATGAAGTCATGGCTGTCTTGTTGGATGCTATGCCCGCCTGCACGAGATATGGCAGCCGCCACTCCACCACCATGGGCTAGCTGTTCATTGCAAGCATTGGCAATAGCTGAGGAAGGGAACTTGGTGATGTCGCCCTTGCAGACCAGTATGTCTTTGCCATGGCATGCACGTCTCTTCAGCAAGATGTCTGCATGTTGCTCAATAAGGATATTGTCATCATCGCTACCGCCAGCACCGTTGACAGAATCAGAGCTGCCAATATTGTTTCTTGTTTCGCTTCTGGGCTTTGTGCTAGCAGTACCTCCTTTCGCTCCCATCTTTGTGTCATGGCTATCTTCCTGGGACGGGGAGAAGCGCTGGACCAGCACTCCGTGCTTAGCCTCTACACTGGCCAACATGGTTCCGACATCATCCTTTCCCATGTGACACTGAATGCCTGGGCGAGAGATGCACAGCGTATCCTCGTGGCAAACGAGCAATGGCTTCAGCTCAGTTTGTACCCCTGACACTTCGACCTGCAGGCCTTCCAGGAGAACAGCTGGTGGCACAGAGCTCAGAGATATCGTCACAGCACGCGAGCGAGCCTTGCTGACCAAATAGGCAAAGCTAGCGTTCATGTGTCGCTGAAAATAGTTCAGATGATGGTCTGACGTAAATGGCACTGTTTGCTGCACTCTGTCACCACTGCTGATGTACTGCTCTATAAGATATTTGACCATCATCACAGCACTGGCCTCGCCACTGACATTCACGCAGGAATCCTGGGGTTGAAGCCGAACATCGGCACACAGATCTTGCGACAAGATCTCATCCAGTACCTGTGTCTGCCACTCCACTTGCCGAGCCATGAACATACCAACATTGTCTAGAGAAACCTTCAACTCGGTCAAGGTGTCCATGAGATGCCTGACGGCTTCATGAACAGCTTGTTCGTCTTCCTGGAAGCAAAGCAGTCGACTCACTTCAATGCCATCTACACGGCTCACAGCAAGTTGACATGCAGCATGCTGAAGGTGGTCGTGTATGTACTTCTTGCCAGCGGGAGTAGACATCAGCTGCTGGTAGCGAGAGGAGAAAACCAGCGGCACACGGATCACTTTCTGTGCTGAGACTTGAAGGCATTGTACTGCCTTAGCAACAGGATCTGCCCGACCTCGGACAAAGAGAAGAGTTGAGTTTGCACAATCGCTGCCAGTTGGTGTTATGCTGATAACGTTTGAGTCACGCTGCACCTTCTGCAGCATGCCAACACTCACAAACACCTTCATGGCGTCGGCACCAATGGATACAGTTCGGCTTACCAGCAGTTTCTCCTCCCTAGCTGCAGTGAGTGCACTTGCCAAGTCAGTGCGCGCTTGATCCAGTGATGGACATAACCCAATCAGACGATATTCAGCTGTCTCCTTACACATTGTGACGTGGACACCATCAAGACTGAGATCTATGTCTTCTAAGTTGAGGTCCTCGTCTGCTAGCTCTGTCGGTATGGCCACCGTGCAGTGTTCGATCTCTACCATCCTCTTCTGCACTGCAGTGCTCACGGCGTGGTTCCAGTTGCTGATAAAGTCAGCGCCAGCCAGAGGAGACAGAGTGATCTCACCGCGGATACGGCTGTGCTTCATGTCAGCACAGTACGTTGGGCCAGTCAGTTCCTTACGCAGGCCCCGCGTGTAGTCCGGCTGGACTTTCAGGAAGGTCTTCTCGACCTCGTTAAGCTGAATTGTAAATTCAGCTGGTGCTTCTCCTCCGCAGCCAGTGCCACTGTCTAGGCTACGTGCATGCTGTGAAGGTGCCACATCATTACCTGCGGGGAAGTGCAGGCCGGCAAACTCTTCGGTGATCATCAGGTGAAGGTTGGCAGCATCAATATTTGATCTGGCCTTGACCGAATCTTCAGACATAAGCACAAAGGAAGCACACACACACACACGTAGTCGACTCCTGATATAACGGACACCATTGTGCAGGAGAATTAGTTCTTTATGGCCGAAGTTCGTTATAACAGAAATGCACTCGCACTATACATGTAGCAAGTCACGACCGACATGTGCCCCGTGACAGTGTGACTGCACTTGGTTTACATGCAGCCCTACAAGATTTGTTTCGTTATAAACGAAAACTGTTCACTACAAAAGGGTCAATTTTGTATGGGTTCAAACAGGGACATGGACAATGGTTCGCTATATCACGAAATTCGCTACATGTATGTGCGAGTTCGTTACAAGTGGAGTTGACTGTATGCGCACATACACACACGTGTACATCTGCACACTCACACACACACGCGCGCACGCACGCACACACACACACACACACACACACACACACACACACACACACACACAGAAGGCATGACATCAATCAGAACATCAGTGCCGGTGATTACCTAAACGCTGTGCATGGCTTGGACAAGATAGGTTCTGCAAGACACCTGGGAGGTATTGACATGAATTGCACAACAAGGAAAAGGACTTACCATCAGCAGTGTGGAAGATGACGCGAGCAGAATGGGACGTACGTTGCTGGATGCCTGCAACGTGTTGAGCTCCAAATATGTCCAGTAGGTAAGCCTCCACACCAGAACCCGGGAAAGATCCTTCCACAAGCACATGACGGGACCTTCGGACACGCTCAATGCCAAGCATGCAACCAGAAGAATCCGTGAGCAATGCTTGTTTGGAGGCAGTACGTTTGATTTGATCAAAGTCTGTATACAAAGACACACACAAGCAGAGTACCCCACAAACACAAACACACACACACACATGCACACACACACATGCACACACACACATGTACACACATGCACACACACACACACACATGCACACACACACACACACACACACACACACACACACACACACACATGCACACACAGGTACATACTGTAAGGCATGTTATTATAACGAGTCGAAAAAATTAACAATAATATTGTCCCAAATTCATAGTTTAACGAGAAGACACGTTAACAATCTTGCAGTCTTCAGGCATATCCGCACATAGCACATGTGGGACATTACAGCCTCAACAGAACTTCATAAATGCACACACGCACGCAGGCACACCATCCAAGATCGTGAGCACGTCAATACGCATGACAGAGTCACCTCAAACAGACCTGGCATAGATGTGCGCGTATTTAGCGACAGGGGTAGAATGAACAGTACCGCGCTCAACTGTATTAAAGAGGGCACAGACGCTTTCTTTACCTAGTACACGTACACGCACTGCTAGGCATTATGTGAGCAAGATAATGTACACTAAGCATGATGAGCTACCGGTATGTGAGTGGGAAGAGGCAGGTTTCTGCACGCACTTCTTTTTAAACCAGGAAAGAGCTGTATTCCGGCACGATTACCATGCTGGACAGAATCATCCACTTACCGACGTGCTTGTTGAAGTGTACCAGTGCTCGTCCTGGCTGCATACTCACTACATCAATACACTCAGGAGCCGTGGCAGAAGCACTCGGCAATTTCGCAAAGTATTGCTTCAGCATGTCTTCACCGCACTCTAAAGGCAGGCCTTCCACCAGAATGTGATCACGGAGGATGTCGTTAGCTCGAGTTGATATCTCCGTTGTTTGCCGGGTAGACTGTTTGCTACGAGGGGTATGTCCATCTTGAGCTGCTATATTGGTTGCGTCAGTATCATTTGTCGGACGTGGTGCCGACTGAGTTTCGTCCCTCGCCAGTGCGTGCGGGCACACAGAGAGCTGTAGCTGATCCGCAATCCTTTGCTGTTTGGAACAAATGCCAAGTCGTGCTGCAGAACAGAGGAAAGTTACATCAAGTTGTAATGTAAAACAGGGCAAAGTTACATCCAGTCCTACTGAAGAGAATTAAGGGAGGGGGGGGGGGGTTACATCAAGTCCTACTGAAGAGAAGGGAGGGGGGGGGGGGAGTTACATCCAGTCCTACAGAAGAGAAGGGGGGGGGGGGAGTTACATCAAGTCCTATTGAAGAGAGGGGGGGGGGTTACATCCAGTCCTACTGAAGAGAAGGGAGGTGGGGGGGGGGGGGGGGGAGTTACATCAAGTCCTACTGAAGAGAAGGGAGGGGGGGGGGAAGTTACATCCAGTCCTACAGAAGAGAAGGGGGGGGGGAGGGGGAGTTACATCAAGTCCTATTGAAGAGAAGGGGGGAGGGGGAAGTTACATCCAGTCCTACTGAAGAGAAGGGAGGTGGGGGGGGGGGGGGGAGTTACATCAAGTCCTACTGAAGAGAAGGGAGGGGGGGGGGGAGTTACATCCAGTCCTACAGAAGAGAAGGGGGGGGGGGAGGGGGAGTTACATCAAGTCCTATTGAAGAGAAGGGGGGAGGGGGAAGTTACATCCAGTCCTACTGAAGAGAAGGGAGGGGGGGGAGTTACATCAAGTCCTATTGAAGAGAACCGGGGGGGGGGGGGGGGGGGGTGGGGGGAGTTACATCCAGTCCTACTGAAGAGAAGGGGGTGGGGGTTGCATCAAGTCCTATTGAAGAGAACGGGGGGGGGGGGGGGTGCATCAAGTCCTACTGAAGAGAAGGGAGGGGGGGGGGGAGTTACATCAATTCCTATTGAAGAGAAGGGGGGGGGGGAAGTTACATCCAGTCCTACTAAAGAGAAGGGAGGGGGGGGGGGGCGAGCTACATCAAGTCCTATTGAAGAGAAGGAGGGGGGGGGGGAAGTTACATCCAGTCTTACTGAAGAGAAGGGGGGGGGGGGAGTTGCATCAAGTCCTATTGAAGAGAAGGGGGGGGGGTGGGGGTTGCATCAAGTCCTATTGAAGAGAACGGGGGGGGGGGGGGTTGCATCAAGTCCTATTGAAGAGAACAGGGGGGGGGGGGGGGGTTGCATCAAGTCCTACTGCAGAGCATAGGACAAGGTGACACCTCACTAGAGCGGATATGGGAAACGCCCGGGCAAGCAGCAACATTATGTCACAAGTCGCTACTTCAAAGTACCGGTTGCACAATGTTCAATGGTGATATTGATACGGTTTGCAATGGAATTTCCAGCTGAAAGTGTACACACGTTTGAGGTTTTGAGAGGATGGGGGGTGGGGGGAGGGGATCTCGTACTTCAAACACTCAGCACGGTTGCTAGGCTTCTATTCAAACCACGTATCTCGTATGTATGTCAACACTAAACCAGGCTTATGTACTGATAGTGTTAAAAATCAGCCTTGTATTCAAAACAGGCTTCTATACAAGGCAGGCTTTTATACAAGACACTACAGTATTAAAAAAATAATTCACAGTTGACGTAGACTTGGTTAGAATACAACGTTGTGGAGACCTTTTTACTAGCAACAGAGCCTACCTTGAAGATTGGGGCAAAGTACTAAAGCCTTTCCTCCCGGCAATCTACTCAGCATCTGAACACCAGGACAACCGCCAGCAATGCCGGAGGAAAAATACATCTCCAGGAACGCATTGGAAGCATTTTGTTCATCTGGTAAGTTGCTGACTAAGAGAGTGAGTCCGGGACAGTATCTGCTGATGTGAGCATTAGCACCCAGGCTCGACATGCATCCAGTGTGATACGCCGACATAACCGCTTCAACCTCTGTGCAGCAATGAAAGAACATAATAATATAACAACTTGCACATGCCTACATGTGCACATGTGGTGGTGTTCCTGTGGATGCGGAAAACTCAGCTTCTAGCCGAGTCTCACGCGAGCCAGGAATTGTTTTGCACATGCCTTATTAACTTTGCTAACTCCACTCTCATAGGCTGGGGGTTTTCAAGAACGTCGATAGAAAACTTACATCAGTGGCCGCAGGCTGGCTCATTCTTTTCAATCCATGAAAATAATTATCATGTCGAATTTCTCAAACAGGTCAAGTTAAGGGATCATGCATCCTGGACTGATCCTTCAATCTCAAGATGGAATCCATCGCTAAGTTCTCCACATCCAAAGTGACTGGCTTACATGCTTCTGAATCTGTTGGTCTTCTGTAACGTTAGTCGTTAGGCAGGTCCCAGTAAAGAATAAGTTGGTCCACACAACTGGATTTCTCCCCCGTAGCAGGTCTGTTCCCAATAGGAAGTTTTCACCCTACAAGGTCTTTTTTCACCATAGCAGGGGAAAATTTCCAGAAAATATAAGCTAAAACGCGTGCCCGTGCACTTGTCGGACTTGATTTGATTTGACATGCATTTCAAGGGTTCTTCGAATAGCTCCCCAGGCTTTCTATAAATAGCACATGATCTAACTGTATGCAGGAATTTGTGAAATCATTTTAAGATCACCTGGCATCATTGAGTGAGAACACAAATGGCCAAGAAACTACATAGTAGCAAGCCGGGGAATAAGGGAAATCAGTGGACGCAATCAGAACAGGCACAAAGGGAAGGGCCAAAGTGATGGATGGAGGTTCAAACACTTCTTGGGTCAGATAGGATCCTACACTTGGTACTGAGGAAGGCCGTATTCGGAAACCGTTTCTTCTCTAGGGATCTGTGACTCACTTTACTAAGTAGCGGGCCTGATCGGGTCCATCGCATATAACAGATCAATCCCTGCAATACATGTGCTGTATTTTCCCCAATAAATGTACAGTACTTTTATTTTTTCAAAGGTGGTCAGACCTGTACTACTATAGGAGACTGTACTAGTATTGGAGACGTGTACTTTATTGTTTCTGGAAAGATTGATTGTCTGGGTTGGGTGGCAAACAACTCGTGATTATGATACTGTAAGGCTGTAAAATTAGTGTAAATACATCCAACCATGGTAAGAAACAGTGGACAAAGACACACAGAGGATAAATGGGTAAGAAATGCGAGGTAAGGTGGACCCTGGTACCTGTACCCCAGTAATGCCCATCACATCATTCCGGCATGTGCTATTATTAGAGATGTGTACTTTTATATTTTAGATCCACTGTCAACATGTACCACAATTGGAGACGTACTAGTATTGGAGACGTGTACGTTTAATGGGGAAAATACGGTAGTTGTCACATGCATACTGCGGTTGTCTGTGAACAAAGGCTGGTTGTAGTGGCTTCACATTGCAATGATCCCTATCAATCATTATGCTGCCAACATTATTTCAGCCCCCCCCCCCCCCCCCTCACACACACAACCAGCCCTACTCAAGTCATCTTCCTTCCTTTCTACACTGGAAGCCATGTAACATGACATGAAATTTACATGCATTGTAATGAGAGTCTGCAAAATCTGCTGACTAATGATGTGCGATAACATTAATACTTTATAGCCTCTTCACGGAGAAAATGTGGGCACCCCCCTTTAATCATAATCCTGGCTACGCCCCTGATGTTGGATCAGGCTTACAAGGTCTGACTGTACTGGCACATGGTTGCTTCAGGACTGCTTTAACTTGTTGCCATGGAGTCAGACTTTCTCACTTTTTTCACGGTTCGCGTTAGACTCGGCCAGAGGACGAGTTTTCCGTATCCGTAGTAACACCATCACCCTATATGGATCAAGGCGTGGATACAGCTCCTAAAGCGGTGGGAGGTGAGTAGATCAGACCCACCATAACGGTTTTCTTACATGTGCCAAGCCAATACTTACCGTTGATATCATTGAATTCCACTATGGCCTCTGCGATTGGTGTGGAGCTGGATATGGAAATCAAGACGGTGCCTGCGCTTGGCCCTACGACACGAGACAACGCCTGTCGGATAGTCGATTCGTCGGCGGTGCCTCCCTCCAGGCCGCTCAAGTGGATGGCCGTCGTGTCAGGACCGTCCTGGACCCATTCGGCATGCAGCGTGTGCTGCGCGTGTCCAGGAAGGGTGTGCCTGCTTTGCTTGACAACACGGCTGGCAGCTGCAAGCGCAAGTGAGTTGAAGTGAGCACATCAGTGTCACAGAACACACAGAACAAGTGTTCGTTAAGTGGAGGAACTGGTGTGACTCAAATCGAGCAAATTTAGAAATATAGGTTACAACTTCAAACTACCACGAATTACTCGATGTATCTCCTCGACGCCTTTTTAATTACTCAATTCATAATTCTTGTTACTTCTGTGGTTTACACCAACCAGCACACCATAACTGCGCTCTCCGGCCGACGTCGACATGTTGTCACAGCACACCTCGCACATGTAGGTATTGGCGAGCAGCTTGGTATCGCGAATGTCAAGCCATGCAAAGTTTGCAATGGGCTCGGCCAGGCCCTCTCACTAGACTGAGTGCGGCAAAAGAGACTGCGCTTTGCCCATTGTCTAGCTTCTAGCCCACCCAAGCATTCTGTTCTACACGAGAAGCTACAGTACAAGAAACTTGAAAACTTCACCACTTGTCCTGTTTCGACTCGCTTCAACTCATTTTACCAAGAGAAAATTGGCAACGAGCACTTACCATCTGCATGTTGGAATCTGAGCAGTACACACCCATGTTGTCTAAGCTCTTGTACGATCTCCACCTGACCACCACCACCGCTGGTTTTCTCCTTGCGGAAGTACATAAGAAGGAGAAGAGATTGGAACGAGTCCGGGATTCCGGTGAGCAGGACCAACCGCTTTGACGGAGCAGCAACCGGAGCAGGAGTCACGTCAGCCGGAGCAGGAGTAAAAGCCAGAGCGGGAGTGTCAGCCGAAGCAGGAGTGTCAGCCGCAGCAGGAGTGTCAGCCAGAGCGGGAATGACGGGAAGAGTGGCAGTGGTAACTTGAGCAGCAGTAACGGCCAGAACGGGAGTGGTAGCTAGAGCGGAAGTGACGATCCGAGTGGGAGTGCCAGCTGAAGCAGACGTCACAGCCAGATCGGGAGTTTCAGATGAAGCAGACGTCACAGCCAGATCGGGAGTGCCAGCTGAAGCAGATGTCACAGCCAGATCGAGAGTGTCAGATGAAGCAGATGTCACATCCAGATCGGGAGATTCAGATGAAGCGGAAGTGACGGCCAGAGCGGAAGTGGCAGCTGGACCGGGGCTAGCCGCTGGTGGGACCTGTCGTGTGGATGTGTACGGTGGTGATGTAGTGACTAGTTGTTGGTCGTTGTGAGTTTGCACCGATGCGTTGGCAGCAGCAACACCAGCAGCAGCAGCGCTTCCCATGGTTGCTGAATCAGTTGGAGTGGGTGCTTGTCCCTGGTGATCAGGTAGATGCAGTACTTGGTTGATGTACGTATATGACTGTGATGGAGAGCCAGTTGGAGTTACTGCATCGCCTGAGTCACTGCCTTGGACATCGCCACTTTCCTCTTCTGCCGTGCCGATTACCACCTTTGCTTCCGCATCAGGGGTGATGGCCGGACCCTGGGACAATGGCGAGGATTCCGACCTGATATCTCTGATGGCCGGATCCTGGGACATTGGCGAGGATTCCGACCTGATATTTCTGATGGCCAGACCCTGGGACATTGGAGAGGATTCTGATCTGATATCTCTGATGGCCGGATCCTGGGACATTGGCGAGGATTCCGATCTGATATCTCTGATACCCGGATCCTGGGACATTGGAGAGGATTCCGATCTGATATCTCTGATGTCAGTAGGCAACTGTACAGGTGTAGTTGTGGCGGTGGGGGTACTCCCTTGCACCTCAGTGGCGGTAGTACTCCCTAGCACCTCAGTGGCGGTAGTACTCCCTAGCACCTCAGTGGCGGTAGTACTCCCTTGCACCTCAGTGGCGGTAGTACTCCCTAGCACCTCAGTGGCGGTAGTACTCCCTTGCACCTCAGTGGCGGTAGTACTCCCTTGCACCTCAGTGGCGGTAGTACTCCCTTGCACCTCAGTGGTGGTAGTACTCCCTAGCACCTCAGTGGCGGTAGTACTCCCTTGCACCTCAGTGGCGGTAGTACTCCCTTGCACCTCAGTGGCGGTAGTACTCCCTTGCACCTCAGTGGCGGTAGTACTCCCTTGCACCTCAGTGGCGGTAGTACTCCCTTGCACCTCAGTGGCGGTAGTACTCCCTTGCACCTCAGTGGCGGTAGTACTCCCTTGCACCTCAGTGGCGGTAGTACTCCCTTGCACCTCAGTGGCGGTAGTACTCCCTTGCACCTCAGTGGCGGTAGTACTCCCTTGCACCTCATCTGTGCCAATAGGGCCAGGATTTACCTGATCCGCAGATAATGTGCCCAACGTGTCCAGAATAGTATCTCCAGCCGCTGCTGCTACTGCTGCTGGTGCTAGTGCTGGCGCTGCTACTGGTGCTGGTGCTGCTACTGGTGCTGCTACTGGTGCCGGTGCTGCTACAGGTGCCGGTGCTGCTACTGGTACTGGTGCTGGTGCTGGTACTGGTGCTGCTACTGGTACCGGTACTGGTGATGATGCTGCTACTGGTGCTGCAACAGGTGCTGGTGCTGCTACTGGTGCTGGTGCTGCAACAGGTGCTGGTGCTGCTACTGGTGCTGTTGCTGCTACTGGTGCTGCTACTGGTGCCGGTGCTGCTACTGGTGCTGGTACTGGTGATGATGCTGCCACTAGTGCGGCTGCTGATACTGCTGCTGCTGATGGTGATGGTGATGATGATGCTGGTTCTAAATCCTGGAGCGCAGGATCTGCAGGTTTGGTATTACTCGTGGGTGAGTTACTATCGGCACCGGCTGCAGTTTCCACCGTCGGCAGATGCACAGCAGCCGGTGGGAATAGATTATCTGCTTCCTTTCCACGTGACAGATCCGGACCAGTAGTTTGTTGCAGAAGTGCAGCTGGACTACTACCAGAGTGGTCTTTGACAGTCTGGTGAATAGTGGAGACACCAGTGGGCATGGTACAGTTGCCTTGTTGCTTGCTGTCATTATCAGCAGCATCTCTGCAACCATTGCCGGCAGGTCCACCATCGCTGATACCTGCAGGCAGTGTATGCCGCTTGGAAACGTCCTCAGTCTCAGTTCTCCCACTGACGCTTTTCTTGTCACTTGCCATAGTCTCAGGACTCGTCGTGGCCTTCACCGCTCTCTCCTTGTCACCATCCCGTTTTCCATCGAAGGGTGATGCCGCATCTGAAGATCCAGCCTCGTCCATTGCTGCTTTTCCATCACCATTCACGGTAGAAGTATCAGCTTCGCTGTCAGCACCGCGTGAAACTATACCTGCAACTGCTGCATTCTGTTTAGCTTCATAAGCTGTGCTGGCCTTCGTTGCCACTTTGGGGGTTGACTTTTGCGCTGCATCACACTCCTCACTGGAGCTACTTGCCTGTGTTGTCTGGACGTTCATTTGCGTTGCACCGTTATTCATGGGAATACCGTTGGTGCCATTGCAGTCTCTGATTACAGCTGGCACTGCTGCTGCTGATTCCCCACTGTGCAAAGCATCAATGTCATTGCGGCCAGCTCCTTTCTGAGATCTGTCAGAAAGAACGGAAATATCACCAGTATCACCATTGCCAATGGGGTCTGAACGTCTCTTTTCCACGACAACCGCCCTGTCATCCATTGTTTGCTCATCATTGAGACGCGAGCCACTGATGGCGACCTCACACACCTGATCCATGAGGAGTCTGACCTGCACTCCATTGACGCTGAAGCTGTCAGCAGATGCAGGCGCACCTGAAGAATGTAACAAACACGCCACAGAAACAGAACAATACAACTGTAAGTGGTATTTTCATCTGATTCTACAGTGACATACGTGCCAATGCAAGTATTAGTTTTCCTAACAAGTCGAGCGCATACTTTATTCGCTAAGGGCGTTGTTCGATTGTAGTTTAACACGATATCTCAGTCCGTCTTGCATAGTCTTGCGCTGCCTGCCAATCTGCACTGGCAACCGGGAATCGCCAATCGAGAATCATTCTAAAAATACAGTTTACAAACACGAAATACACACCAGGGCTAGTGCTGATGCATGGTGTCCCTATTGTGTGTGGATGCATGGTGTCTCTATTGTGTGCTGATGCATGGTGTCCCTATTGTATATTGCATTGTGTGCTGATGCATGGTGTCCCTATCGTGTATTGTATTGTGTGTGGATACTATAATAGGCCGGGAAGAAGAGGCTTCACAAGTTTGAGGGAGTTGAACAGTGAAGAGAAATGAAGAGTACTCAGTATCAAGGCATATACTCATACCTTGGTTATCCGGACCCCGATGTTACGGGCACTTCCGTCTACTGGGCACCATTGGGGCGAGTTTCAGTCGACATATGACTTCTCTTTTGTCACTTTTTGTTGAAATGGTGACGTCATATGCCATATCTATGGCATTTTCCCCTTCAACATGTATGTGATTCGGAGTTACGGACATTTCAAAGTTTCAGGCTGTCCGCGTGGCCCGGCCGGATAAACGCGGTATAAGTATACTAGAATCGCGCTCTTCTCCTTCATGACAGTTCATGACAGTTCATGATAGTTCATGATAGTTCATGATAGTTCATGACAGTTCATGATAGTGGTTCGGTTGACTGCTACTTTTAGATGAGTGGCGGTGTGGTTAGTAAGATGAGATTGTATTACTGCAGGGTCTCGGAGAAGCAACAGTGGAACTTCCATGGTACATCGCTTCTTTCAAGGCATAGGCACCGGCGTCCTCAAGAGTACATGAAAACCAGAGTGTGCAGCTCGGATGGGTTGCTGTCACGGCGGAATTCCATGATTACATCATTTTAGTGATGTAGTGCGTACAAGCAGGATTCAAGCAGGTCTCTTTCTGCACACCTGCAGCTCAGTTGTACGCACTGCGCCATTTCCCGCCTCAGATCTGCGCCAAATATGATGTAATTACGGAATTCCGCCGTGACAGACACCCATAGCAGAAAAGGCCCCGAGCTGCACACTCTGGTTTTCATGTACTCTTGGCGTCCTCCATAGCTCAGCGTGTATTAGGCTTGCACACACTCTAAGATGTACAGAGAGTGTATGACAAACTGCTCAGCCTGTCCCTTGAAGCGGTGGCCTCACACGCACCCCACCCCTCCCCACTTTTTGAACCACTTTTTATACTTTCAGACCCTTGCCGTCCAAGGCCGGAGCACCCATCTACTATGACGTATGTTTCAACTTTCAACGGCCATCTTTTCTACACCTCCATCCCAGTACAGTACATGTCAAAAGTATCGCTATGACAACGAGGTAGTAAATCTTATCTACGGCCAGCACCAGACTGGCAGCAGATATGCCCTTGACCATGCCTATGTAATGACTGCAGAGGGACTCATCACGTTCAAACAATTCGGTTGTGAAACTCGTCCTCATGCCCGGCGCGCTATTTTGTTCACGAGGTCGAACTTCACTGATCAGCAGCCTTTGGCCGATAATGCTGGCAGAAACATTTGCAGAATTTTGTACTTTTTCTGGTAAATCTTTCAATTCTTCATGCATGTTAGGTAGTAGATCTACTACTACTGATGTGGATAAAGAAATGGAGCAGAATTCGAGGAAGTGTTTGCCATCATAAGGCGTGTATGGTCCTGGCAATTTCACTGCTTTTCGAGTAGAATCGGCCAATGTTTCGAGCATTATCCGCCAATGGCTAAAGACCAGTATAGTAACTACAGTACAGACAGTAAGTCAACCCTTTACTTGTGCATGTAGAATGCGTGTAGAATGAACCCGTACCTTGACCTGCTCCTGGCGAAGTCTTGCGAACCACTTTGATGCTGTAGCTGGCACATCCGTCCGTGGAGTCCTCACCATCCTCCTCGTGAAAGAGCCCGGAACGCGCACTCTCACCCAGTTCGTCATCGGTAGACTCTGCGGCCTGCCAGCCACGAGAGGCCAACGACGAGAGAAGTGCGTCAACGTCCAGGTCGCAGCCGCCGGGAACTTCGAATCTTGCTCGTGCGGAGGCCATGTTGGTCCCCGCGGAGCAACTGAAAATCAATCCTGATCAGAATGATGTCGTCGTGGTAATAAGAAAGTCACTCGATCCGACACGAGCGTCTTGTACCGGTCGTTCAGAAACCTGAACGGCCAAATGAGCTGGGCAGGAAAGCGGGCCGTGATAAAGCGATCGATGCGGACACGATACAGCCATAGCCGGTTGCTGGTGCGTGTTGAGTCTCTCCAGTATCGTTATGTCGGCAAATGAACCCATCATTACGCCGTTGATTGGAGTTGACCACTTTCCTAACGTGTCTGCGACATTTTCCGGGAAAGCAACGGACCTTAAATCCAGCCTTGCTGGCATGGAGCAGGAAAAGTCGGCAAAAGGCGAACGTCAAGTTAGTCAGTTTGCACGGAAAACAGAAGGAAAGGTCCCGTCACCACTTGTCAGATATTTCCAGATTGTTCCAAGCGCTATTTCAGTACTACTGATACAGTATCCTAATGTGCGAGGCCATGTCGAAACTTTACTTCAAGTAAACGAATCAAAGCCGAATGCAGTAGTGCTAGTGCGGTGCATGCTGCGTAGATCTACGTGTGCCATGCCCACGGTGTACACTTACTCACGTGACTTAGTCTTTACACTCTGACATAATATTACCATGAATACATAATATTACCATGATGACAGTGATCAGGGTGATGTATGGTGTAGACCAGGTCCACGACTCCACGTAGATCTACGTACAACTACAAGTACAATGTAGGTACGTGGACCATGACATGGGCATGGTAGACTATTCGAAGGTCGCCGACGTGACCATGGTGACGGCCTACGGCCCTACGGGCCCGGTTGAAGTACGGCCGGGGAAACCTGGACTCGAAGCGATGGCGACGAGAGGGTGTGCGTGCGTGCTAGCCACGGATGTCAGTGTAGTCATCTGGTCCTGCAGTAGACAAGGCGCAGGCTGGTTAGGTCATGGGGAAAAGGACAGGTGTAGCTAGCTGGCACTCCGTGGATCTCCTGTCGATGTAGACCGCAGACGATACAAGAGTCAAGACGGAGCAGGATAGGGATCGCACTTCGCGTAGATTCAACGACTCAAAGTACGTTTACGCGTAGCGCTAGCGCTATCTCTATATCTGCGTTGTTGTTCAAGTGCTAACGACAGTAGTAACGTTACCATTCTCTCAACTCATGCCGCCTGCACTGACTCTGTACTGGCTGTGGTAACCGTGTTGTAATAGTCTGTAGATTCTATGCGTGGGTGTTCATAATCATCTGTGAAATAATTTCAAGTAAAGAGCTTACAATTAATTGTAGACTTCGTTCGTTATTCTATCGTAGTGCTCCTCCAGCAAATGGCCGGAACGATTCACCGTTTCAGGTACTGCCACTGCCAGTAATAACGCTCATCACCAGATCACTGACATCAGTCATCTAGAACACAACGGGTGGAAGGTCGCTTCGACGCGCATGATTTTGCCGAAGTATCTATCGACTACGGTTGAAGTATCCTGTGGGCAGGCCGGACCAGAATGCAGAAAGCGGAAATCGTCCTTGGTCCATCGGAGATGGATACAGTACCCTCGCCAGCCGTGGCCGGAGTGTTTGTCAGTGGATTCAGCAAGCTGGAGCTGGTGGCTCCTGTAACTGTAAGGCCACGGCTCGTAACGCTACTCATTGAAGATGTCTTGAAAATGCACATGCCGACGGATGCGTATAGCATTGAGTTCATACGGCCGGGCATGGCCAAAGTAATTCTGAAAGGATTAACCGGTAAGCAATAATATTAAATCATGCATGTGGCCATGATGTGAGTAGAGTCTACAGTTTATCAGGTCCGGGCCGCATAGGGGTTTAGCAGCATACCCGGTATACATGTACACTTGTACAATGTCATGTACAGTGGTAAACCGTGAAGACGGATGCATGGGCAAGGCCATTCATTCATTAGGTATTATGTTGAGAGGAAGGCAGTTATAGAATCGGCATTGAGATTCCTGTCCCCATTCACTGCACGCGCACGGCACGGTCCAATGTTGGCCTTGTCCTTGCGTTTGTCTTCTGACATCTTTCCTGACTCCACTACATGTAGATATTAAATGTGGCGTTCTTTGTGTGTTTGTCTGTGCATTTAGCCCCTCTTGTCTCACCTCCCACCTCTTTCTTTCTTTGCCTTTGTTTCTCTCTCCTTGTGCATGCTATTTCTTCTGCTTAATTTATCACTGCGGCTAAGTTGCAATGAGTACCACCCCTGTGATGCCATGTATCCCGATGTGTTTCATTGATCTACTCACCTCCCACCACTTTTAGGAGCTGCATCTGTGCCTTGATCCTTGAAGGGTGGTGGCGTCCCTACGGATGCGGAAAACTTGGCCTCTAGCCATGTCTGACGCCGCGGAATCGTGATTTTTTCATTGATTCTACAGTATTGGAAGAGTGTGTTGCTCCCTACATGGGAGCTCGCAGTTTTCCTGCCGACTTGAATTCTCACTTGACTGACTCACGACCGCCACCCAGAGCACACGAGAAGTCCATCGAACCGTCCACTCGGCAAACCTGCAAGAAAGCACCACTCCCTGCTCAATACACAGTGTTTCAGGGAATTCACCCCTCATCAGTTGAGCTTGAGTAGGCTGAGGAAGATTGTGCCTGAAGAGCACCACTTATATAGTGCTCTCCAGGCACAAACATCACCAGGGATACAGACTTACAGAGACGCTCCGTTTCCAGCGCGACAAACACCTCGTAAACACCAGATAGCAGCGTGAGTCAGTGTCGCTCATGGAGGTGCTGAACAAGCGCTGCGGACCGTTAGCCATTCACAACGTTGTTGCCTCCAAACCATCCAATTCGCAAGCCCGCGCTGGGGACAACAATGCGAAGTCGGCAGGAAAACCGCAAGCTCCCATGTAGGGAGCAACACACTCTTCCCCTACTATCGCCGAAGTCGCACCAACCTCTTCTTCCACACTAGTACTCAGCGAAATAGAGTCACGTCACTCAAGTGCGCGCCAGGCGTTCCGCAGCCCTGGACCTGCGAACACCACAACTGCGAAATCATGCAAGGCGCAAACTTGAGCGACGCGACTGGATTTCATTAAGCAGGACTGCAGTTGCTTATGCTTCACGTGACGAGAGAGCACGAAAACAGGTTTGGGAAATTCCCCCCTAGTCTTGATGATGGTGGTAAAGAGTAGTCTTTTTTCCTGTGATAAGTTTCCTACGTGAAAAGTTACAAAAGTCAATAATATTCCGAGTGAGTGTGAAAAAGAGGATAGCAAGGGGTGCAAGGGAATCACAGTCAAACCACTCAACACACCAATTGGTCATGTTGAGATGTCTGAACATGATTGGAATTATAGCGATAAAAGGTAGTGTTGAAAGGACCGCACCGGTTAGTCGTTAGCTCGCTTGCCAGAAACTCGGCACGTTTGTGCGACGAGCTCGTTTGCACTAACGAGCACCGAACACGGTACAGTGCACACATTACAGTACAGTCACTGCATCTAGCAAAGGCGCTGAAAAGACATCTCGACACCAAATACCCGTCCGAAGTGAAGCCAGTCGAAAGCAGCAGCAACTCCAGTGCTGGCGGGGAAATTCGAAGCACTTGTCAATATGAACTGGTTTTGAGGGAAAGAGACAAACGGGAAAAGTCTGAAGAAAAAATTGACTGTCACCACCAGGACTCGAACCAGGGACCCTCGCTTGTAGCCAGCGATGCTCTAACCACTGAGCTATGGTGTAGTCGTCATCCAAGCAGAGACTGTTCAACGTTTTCTTCAGACTTCGTAACTCACACTTCCTGTGAATCCACACAGGCGGGTGGGACGCAGCCCTCACTGTACCCACACACTTCACGTACAAACTAGCACGCGGGGAGCCCCAAGTCATAAAATATGAACTGGTTTTGAGGGAAAGAGACAAACGGGAAAAGTCTGAAGAAAAACGTGTCAATAATTATTATTTGAAAAAATCAAAAAATCGTCTTTGCCACATCAGTGAAACTGGCTAGCTCGCTCGATAGCTTGCTCGTTAGTGGACTGTTCGCTTATTTCATTTGTTATAGATGCGATCGTTTCAACACTAATAAAAAGGGATGAACTTCGCACTCGTATTCGAGTTCTATACACAGTTACACACATCAAGGCAAAGTAGGCGGGTAAGTGGCGGGTAAGTGGTGGGTAAGTGGCGGGTAAGTGGTGGGTAAGTGTTCCAAGAAGGGTTTTTTCGTGATCGTCATCAGTTGCCTTGATGTGTGCGTAGAATATGAGTGCACAGTTTATCCGTTTTATTGCTATAATTAAATTGTTGTATCCACGTAGGTTTTGATTGGAATTGTGTTGTATATTTATGTTATCTCCTGGACGATTGGAGTGAGCGTGGATGAATTGTTACCGAACTTGAACAAGACTGCTGGACAACTTCCACTTCCGAGGTCGGATATAACTGGCCACCTACACTTCTCAGCTGATGACTCTAAGGTCAGTGCAAAGAACACTAGACAAATTCTAATTTCTGGTCATCGTATCATGGGATTATTGTAGACTTGACCCCCCCCCCCCCCCAACACACCCACGCATCACTTAACTCTTGCAAACAATTTAACGTGACCCGTTGTCACTATTTGTTCATAAACTGATAATGTGCCCCATTTAATGGTGCACCGGGCCTGCAGTGAGTACTGAAGTACGGTGTCCAATCACACACGCATCCAAACATGCCCACACGTGCATGCTCACACGCACACATGAATGTATAATTATGCACACACACTTATTGTGTAGTATAACAATCACGGGCTGGTGCCTGGTCTCGAAAAAGCCCGCACCCTGGAGTGTTGACACTTCAATCTTGCAGGTTACTAGTGCTTGTAGACTGTGAGACAGCAGCATCTCCATGGGTACTCGTAGAGGTCCGGTGAGAGATTATCTGTGGCATTGTCATTCACCTGTGCGTCTATCTGTAGGTAGCGGATGGGTCAGCGGAATTCTATGAACGAGAAGGCAGTGGTATTCGTGATGGTGATGCTGGTGCTGAAACAACTACTGGAAATGGACAGACAGATGTGCAACAATACGCTAGAGAGCTGCCAGTTTTCCAAGGATGTATCAGTGATATAAGCATGGAGCTACTATATTACATGTGGTGGCAGTTTGAAGTTGCCGGCAGAGCACAACGGGCAGGCTGTATAGCTGGACTGCGAGATGAGGTGCCGGCAAGGCTTGAAGTCTCGTCTACCAACGAGCAGGCGTTCGTACGGTTCATGGATGAACTACGAGGCCAGCATGACACTGTTTGGAGTCATCACCAAACCTTCCTCCACGTGCCCATGCAAATGAGTGCAGTTGCGCAGGAACGACTGGTCAAGTTGGCGAGAAACCAAAGCAATTTCTCCCACTTAACAATTTACATTGCCCGGCAGAACATCACAATTCTGGGCAGGACAAGTAAAGTTCGGCAAGCTTGCCGGCTGTTTATGGAGCAAAGCATGAGCTTATTTGGAACCATGAATGGTATTCAGGAACAAAGCCAGAGTACTCACGAGGAGGAGCGCAATAGTCAGCCGCAACATGGGACCAATGGGTCAGTAACTGCCAGTGGACCAAGTGTCACTGGCTTGGAAGAGAACACAGAGAGTCCTACGGTGATGTCATCTGCGGATCACCACTCATTGTCCTGTACCAGTGAAGTAGACAACAGGTGTCCCGTCTGCTACGACTCTGGAGAGGACGTCGTGCACCTGGACTGCTCTCACGTCATCTGCTCTGATTGCCTGGCAGAAATGCGAAGTAGGCGACAGTCAAAGTGCCCCATCTGCTCCGTCGCCTTTGACAAGATCCTTGGCGATCAGCCTGACAATGCCACAATGGAGCACTCTGTCATCTCGACAGCTCTGCCTGGCCATGCGGGTCATGGAACAATCGTGATCACGTACGTGATTCCTGGAGGTTACCAGAAATCGTATCATCGGAATCCTGGTCAACGCTACCACGGTGACACGAGAGTAGCTTTCTTGCCAGACTCCAAGCAGGGTCGTAACATGTTTCGCCTGCTTTGCAAAGCGTTTGAGGCGAAACTAACTTTCACGATTGGATTCTCCGTTACTCGCAATGTTGACAATGTTGTGACCTGGAACGACATACATCACAAGACAAGCATGCACCCCGGACCGTGAGTAGTTTTTACCCTATAATATACCCTTCTCCCCCCCCCCTTTTTTTTAAAGAGTTCTGATGTGAAAGGTTCTGTGTACATTTGGCAGTGCATACATCGTGTGATTTACAACAGGGCTGCGATCATAGTGACTTGCCCGTGATTATACACAGCACACAGGGTGAATGCTACACAGTACACAGGGCGGATGCTACACAGCACACAGCACACAGGGCGGATTGCACCTCTGTCCACGCAGTGCTCAGTACCCGCACTACTACGTATGGGCACACACTGTCACACTGTATTGAGAACTGTGTGCCCAGAGGAGTACTGCGCACTTGCTGTTGTTGCATACATAAAGTATACAACAGCAGCAAATGCTCAGTACCACTTTGGGCACACAGTTGTAATAGGTGTATTTATGCTACGACCTGTATACTCACTATTCATATTTCCCGCTCGTTCCCCTTGGCGATGAGAGCCACTAACATGCTCCAGTGGGTCTCCAGTTCTGTTCTGTTCTTGTCTAGTCTTGAGTTGTCGTTGTCCTGTTCTCCTTCTTGTCTACACTCTTGTACTTGCATAATTCAATACTATAAAACCCTTGTGTTTTTGGTGTGAGGGGACTTCATTAGCCGGGAGCAGCTAACACAGTCCTCGAAAGTCAACACCACTATGGGCACACAGTGCTCACTAGTGTAATGGGCATAGCCTATACTTACACGGAAGGCAGACCAAGGCTTTTCTTGCCAGATTCGGTGGCCATAGTATCTATACTGCTTGAAACATGTATGTCCCTTTGTGTTGCTTGCAGATTTGGATATCCTGACCCCGGCTATCTGGGTCGTCTTGAGGAAGAGCTTGCAGCTAAGGGCATCAAGTAGGCCAGCACTATGAACAGTATGGATGGAGATGCATTTGGAAAAATATTATCAATTTTCACTGAAAGGATTCTACCGGTGTTGACATACTGAACAAAGTAGAAGAGTGTAATGCCAACGTATTGAAATCCTTATCTCTTTCCATCATTTCTCCACCGTTATCTTTCTGCTTGAAGCACAATTTTCTTGACTGTTTCAGGACACAACCACACATGAAGCTACATTCGTTGCTGTTGTTTTTCTTCTTTTTGTAGCAAAACTTGTGTTTTTGGCACCCTGCAGACACATTCTGTTTGTAGCATTACAGCAAGGGCCCTGAGAATGAGATGGCGTGATCCAGCTGCATGCGTGTGCAGTGCAGACTCTACTGTATGTCATAGTGATGCACACAGTGCATGGACACATGGATACCCATTCAGGGTTTGTAAAGCATGACGCTACACTCCAATCATTGTCTGGCTGGCCTGTGTAAGCACTGGAGTTATTGTGTTTGTTTACTGTTTTGTGTTTTGTGTACTTGGTATTTAAGGTACCACATACACAAAACACACACGTACAGTATGAGGGTCGATTAGCTGTTCACCGAGCACAGGACCGGATGAACCAACATCTCCACACCTGCCAATCATGTCGTCCTGAGCAAAAACTGTGTGAAGGCCAATAGCAGGTTTCCGCTCAGATTCTGCTACAGCGTGTGCTGCTCAAGCTTCAGTACTGGCCCAAGAAATCTATTAAACCTAATGAATAAAATAGCGCCAGGCGCTACGCAGCCCTACACAATATTAATCTGTGCGCTCAATGCCTCCGTGCAGGCAAGACTGTCTCGTGACGTCTAACTTTTGCTGCAGTGCATGCACTGGTATTGCGAGTACATGTACAGTCAATTTGGCTACTAAAAAAATGCCGTAATTTCCGGAGTATTGGCCGCACCCGGGGTATAAGCCGCACCCGGGGTACCCCTACCCACTTTTTTTTTGCCACGACATAATTATAGGCATCTACCCTATTTCTCACCGTTTTAAGAGTCGATCAAGGCTGTGAATAGTATCAAATGTGCGAGGCCCGAACAGTATCTTTTTGGAAACACTGTCCAGGCCTCGCTTACTAGTGTGTTTAAATTAATATTTAATTTATAGTCATGAGTGCATAGTTCATACTAATCATAGCCTTGTTCAGATTATTGTCCCCAGGCTGATTATTCGTTAATTTGATCATCGGAATAAAAGCTCCAACCCCTTTTTTGGGTGAACTTTGAGTGTTCAAAGTGCCAGATCCATTATATCAAGAGTAGATAAACAAGAGTGTGCAACTCGCGGTTGGGTGGGCCCACGGCGGAATTTTTTGTTGGCGTAATCTTTTCGACGACGCACGCGCTGCGAGTCTTTCGGAAAGTTTTCCCTCCGTGTTCTTGGCCGGCTTTACACTACAAGGTCGGTGCCCAGCACGTGCTCTCCCACTGCTCTGTGGCGAAATGCTCGTTCTTCTGAAAAAGGCGACGTCAACAAAAAATTCCGCCGTGGGCGGGGGTATCTCCAGACTGTGCAGGAGAGATCCGGAGTTGCACACTCTTGTTTATCTACTCTTGATCATATTCCTTACCTATTTTATTGTATTTACTTCTCCGAGATTGTAGTAGATGTAGTGAGCGAAATCAGAACCAGACTCCTGAATACATCAGGATCGTCCTTTAAAAAAACACAGCCGGGCCACGGCATAAACAAAGGGTCCAGCGGATGGTATATTCATGAGGTCGGAGTCACTACGCGTACACGTCGAGCCATAACAGATTACAATGTGTCAGAGGGGGAAACCGGATTGAATCGACTTTTCCTCCCACAGGCTCCTTATAAACTCATACCTTGGTTCTCCAAACCCTGACTCTGAGCTACGGGGCACTTGGGTCGTCTACCGGGCCGGGCACCCGTTGGGTGAGTTTCAGCGAAATATTACTACTCTGTTGTCACTTTTAGTCGAAATAGTGACTTCATATGCCATAATATTATCATGGCCTTTCCCCATCAAGATGTATGTGATTCGGAGTAATGGGCATATCAAAGTTACGGGCAGTGCGCGGTCCCGGATCGCCTGAATAAACGAGGTAAAATTAAGCGTACTTGAAGTACCAACACCAGTGCACTGTGATTGTACTGTACTGGACAAGGTGCCATCCTTGCATGTCCTGCATTGACTAGCGAGTAACTCAGTTGCATGGTACATCTATGTATGACTGATGTACTGCTGACAGGTACATGCCCTGCCGTGCTTGTGCTGGAACCATAGATGTGCATTGTTTGGTGTTCTATGTAGGTGTAGGTATCGCTATTCCACCAGATGGTCGCCAGATTTCCCTCCTTGTGACGACCCCTTAGAAATATAGTTGATTATGGTTGATTAGGTCTGCTGATGTTCTTGCCGACACATTGTGTAATGTAGCTTTCTATTCCTGGTCAGCCTGCTGTCTGTTATGTGCAAGCACCGTACTGATCCTAGCCTAAGCTCCGTAGTCCATGACATGATATAATGCATAACATATCCATGAAAGATTAGTTTTTGAGTTAGACTCTCCAGACGACGTTGTGTGAGCGAGCCAGGTCCGTAGTATTCTACTACAGCTTTTGTGGTGCCGAAACCCGGGATCTCTCGCAAAGGGTTCACAGCGTCGTACCGGCGGAGGACGCAGGAAACGCTCAAGCTCTAGCGGTGGAGCAGCAGGAACAGCGATCTACGATGGCGTCGCTGAAGGTCGACAACTTCGTTCGTGCGTATCGTGGCAAAGGGGACGACTGGGAACACTTCTGGGGGAAGTTCAGCGTCCTAGCCAAGATCCAAGGATGGGATTCTGCGGAGAAACGAATGAAGAACTTTCCACTGTTCTTGGATGGAGACGCGTTCCTGGTATTCACGCGGATGCCGGCCGACGACCAGAAGGACGAGGAGAAGGTGAAGGAGAAGATGAAAGTGTCCTTCAGCCTGACGAAGGCACAGGCGTACCGTGCATTCACGACTCGGACTCTACGAGAAGACGAGTCGACCGATGCGTACGTGGCCGATCTACAGAGGCTCGCGAGCCTGGCGGGGCACGCCGCCGACGATGATAAGGACCCATTGTTGATCGAACAGATGGTGTCCGGATTGCCAAGCGCCTTCGCGAAGGAATTACGCTTGTCCATGGCCTCGAAGGAACATTCCGTGAGCGGGTGTTTGGCAGCGATCCGAGCTCTGAGGTCAGCGCAGAGCGACTCGCGATTGCTAGCTAGAGCCTCGGAGGAAGTGGCAGCGGCGGCGAGCAGTAGCAGTAGTGGAAAGAGCCAGCCAGTTGCCAGCTCGGCTTGTTTCGAGTGCGGAAAAGTTGGGCACCTCCGCCGAAACTGCCCTTCAAGGAGCCGCGATCGGCGTGGTCGTTCTCAGCCTCGCGGGCTCACGTGCTTCTTTTGCGATAAGCCTGGCCACGTCAAGCGAAACTGCCCTGCACGTGAGCGATGGGAAGCGGCTTCGAAGGGCGGCACTGCTGCTGCAGCTGCTGGTGAGCGCGGAGCTAGCACTGACAAGTGCCTCTGCACAGTGACGAAGGCAGGACAGGGGACTCTGCCCAGGGTGTACGTCGATGTCAAGCCGCGGGACCAAAGCACGAGTGCATGGAAGAGAGCAAGGGCAGCAGTAGACACGTGCGCCACACGCTCTCTGGTGGCTGAGGCTTTCCTTACTGACCATGGCATCGAGTATGAACCCGACACTGAAGTCCAGATGAACGCCCTGAACGGCAGCGCAGTCGAGCTGCTTGGAGCCGTAGAGCTGCTGGTAGAGCGAGTAGAGGCGGGCTGCCCGGTTCATCTTCCGCGGACGCAAGTGAAAGCCTTCGTTGTCCGGAAGTTGGACGCTGTGAATGCAGACGTCCTCGTTGGCGCTGACGTGATTGCGGCTGTCGGAGGAGTTCACCTCGGGTATGGTGACGATGGTTCCCTGTCGAGTGTCCAGTTCGGCGCCCCAGAAACTGACCGTCCTGCCATCGTGGCGGCGACAGTGCCGGCTGCTCACCCTTCTCGGCACGTGACTGTGAGCAAGGACGGAGAGGATGTGGTGCTGAGAACGGACGACAGCGAGGTCCGGTGGGACAGCGCAAGCCAGCGCTGGATCGTGCGATGGATGTGGGCTGATGATGAACCGCCAACCAAACAGATCGGTTCCGGCATCGGACAGTATTCTCGGAAGCGGCTGTCGCCGGAGCAGGAAGCCAGCTTCTGTACCGAAGTCGATGCTTGGGTGGAGAACGGCTGGCTGGTAGAGCACGACCCATCCGTACACGGGGAGCCGGCAGCTATCCTGCCTCTGCTAGCCAAGGTCCAAGAACACAAAGCCTCTACCCCAGTCCGGCCGTGTCTAGATTACCGAGCACTGAACGGTGTCATCAAATCCAATCCGGGGACCGAGGCGCCCGTTTGCGCCGATAAACTGCGGAAGTGGCGCATGGCTGGCGATCAAGAGTGCAAGCTAATCGACATCAGGAAGGCCTATCTCCAGGTTCATGTAGACCCGTCGCTCGCCCGCTACCAGGTTGTCGTTTGGCGAGAAAAGCTGTACGTGATGACGAGGATGGGCTTCGGCCTGTCCGTCGCGCCCAAGGTGATGGACATCATCGTCCGCTGGGTGACCCGAGAGTGGCAGGATGTTGATAGCTACGTCGACGATGTGCTCGTTCCGGGAGCGAAAGAGCAAGCTGTGACGTCCGCTCTTCACCGCTACGGTCTGCCGACCAAGCCCGCAGAACCGCTCACCGCGGCCAGAGTTCTCGGTCTCCAACTGTCAAAGGAAAGTGACGGCACGGTCAACTGGGCTCGTAGAGGAGGTGTCAACCTTGGCTTCGAACAGCCGCTGACAAAGCGTGAGGTCTTCAAGTGGACGGGACGCCTGACTAGCCACTACCCAGTGTGCTCGTGGCTCCGCCCGGCATGTGCGTGGTTGAAGCGACAGGCCTGCTCAGCTGATGGCTGGGATGACGCCGTGCCAGAAGCGGTCGCCAGGTGCTGCGCAGAGCTGGCCGACATGGTCCGGGAATCAGACCCTGCAAGAGGTGCGTGGCGTGTTCCATCGCTGGATAGCGACGGCTGGACCGTGTTCTGCGACGCGTCGGACGTCGCCATTGGAGCTTCCCTGCATCACGATGGTACTACGATCGAAGACTGCTCGTGGCTGCGCGAGCCACGTGACCACAAACACATTAACATTGCCGAGCTGGACGCCGTCTTAAGGGCGCTAACACTCGCCGCGGAGTACAAGGTGGAGAAGGTGACGTTAGTGACTGACTCGAAGGCGGTTGCAGGCTGGGTGTCGCAGGTCCTCGGGAACGTCAGACGAGTCAGGGTCACTGGCCTCCACAAGCTTCTCGTTGTGCGCCGTCTGGACATCATTGAAGACCTAGTCGCAACGGCTGGCCTGAAGGTAACAGTTGGCTGGGTACCGACGAACGAGAATGTCGCTGACAGACTGACCCGTGTCCCAAAGAAGTGGCTGCAAATAGCTCGCGTTCCCGAGAGCGACGAATCTCCGGAAGTTGCCGCGTCCATGGCAATGAAGCAGCCGGCGACCGTCATTGGCTGTGACGACGTCTGTGATGCCCAGCGGAAGTGCCCGTTGATTCAGACGCTGGTCAGTGCTATCGAGAGCGACAGCGAGATTCAGCACGCCACCTACCGGAAGATTCGTGAACAGCTCGTCATCAAGGACGGCCAGCTGAGCCGCACGCTCAAGCTGCCTGCACTCGGCGTTGTCACTGTGCCGATCGTTCCGGAGTGCCTTGAGCACAGCGTTCTCGAGTCGGCCCACGTGATGTCCGGGCATGCCAGCTGGAGTGTGATGTACGACATGCTCCGCGCACGTTGCTTCTTCCCCAGCATGGCGGCTAGGTGCCGGAAGTATTGTGACCAGTGCCGACAGTGTGCAGCCGCTAGCAGCCACGCAGGACCCGCAGCGCCGCCGACGCAGCCAGACCTGCCTGGGCGGCCGTGGAGTGTCGTTCAGATCGACACACTTCACCTGGGAGAGGAGAAATCCGGTCAGTACCACTGCGTGTTGGTGTGCGTGGATGTGTTTACGAAGTGGGTCGAGGCAATCCCTCTCAGGCGGCACGATGCGACCAGTGTTGCAGAAGCGCTGACCAGCCTCTGCTGCCGTTGGGGCCCGCCAGACGAAGTCCGTATGGACAATGGCTCCGAGTTCAAGAACGCCGTTGTCCGAGCTCTCTTCGCACGGTTCGGCGTGCGTGTGAAGACAGGGGCCGTACGTCACCCGCAGTCGCAGGGAGGTGTCGAGAGGGCAAACAGGACCATCATCACGCTGATGCGGAAGGTCCTCACAGAAGCAGCAGATTGGAAAACTGAGCTGGATCTGCTGCTCTACTACTACCGCACGAGGCCACACACCACGACAGCCATACCGCCTATGCTGGCCATGTGTTCATGGCAGCCGCGCCAGCTGATCATCGAGGCTGAGGCACCAGAAGCCCTACTGAGCGAGTGGGTTGACCGAGTTGGCGAGACAGCAGCAAGGGTCCGCGACCACGTGGAGGTGGAGCTTGCTGCTACGACTCCGGAGAAGCCAATCACCAAGTTCGAGGCACCCTACACAGAGGGGCAACGTGTGATGCTGAAACAGCCTGGCCGGCGACGCAAGTTGACTCCGCCATACCAGTGCGGCTGGAAAGTGAAGAAGATCATTGCGCCGTCGACAGTAGTCATCACCAGAGATGATGGCGGGGAGAAAGTCGTGAACATCAACCTTCTCAAGCCTGACGTACGACACCCACAGAGTGCCAAGCAGGATGGTGCTCCGCGTCCAGGAGCGACGGAGCAGGCGCACACGAGCGCCGACGATGGGCGTGACGACGGTGATGGTGAGATGTGGCTTGACCAGCCGGAGCCAGCGGACGACGACGACGACGATCGCCCTGCACCGGCTTATGACCTACGTGACCGTGGAACCTTGGCGCGTCCAGCTAGATACAATGGCTAGAGTCGAGTGGAGATGTCACCTAGGAGAGGGGTGTGATTGTACTGTACTGGACAAGGTGCCATCCTTGCATGTCCTGCATTGACTAGCGAGTAACTCAGTTGCATGGTACATCTATGTATGACTGATGTACTGCTGACAGGTACATGCCCTGCCGTGCTTGTGCTGGAACCATAGATGTGCATTGTTTGGTGTTCTATGTAGGTGTAGGTATCGCTATTCCACCAGATGGTCGCCAGATTTCCCTCCTTGTGACGACCCCTTAGAAATATAGTTGATTATGGTTGATTAGGTCTGCTGATGTTCTTGCCGACACATTGTGTAATGTAGCTTTCTATTCCTGGTCAGCCTGCTGTCTGTTATGTGCAAGCACCGTACTGATCCTAGCCTAAGCTCCGTAGTCCATGACATGATATAATGCATAACATATCCATGAAAGATTAGTTTTTGAGTTAGACTCTCCAGACGACGTTGTGTGAGCGAGCCAGGTCCGTAGTATTCTACTACAGCACCCAAATGACCATACAGTGTTTGCACACCTCACCAACTGTAATGATGGTCAAGTCTGGAACTAAGAGACTCTATGGAGATATCTCGCCCCCACCCCCTTCCCTCTACCATCCATGCATCAAGCCAGTCAAGCACAACGCAGACCGGACCATGGACTGGACCAGCATGCTGTGATTGCCAACTTCAAGACAGAATGACCGTATAAATTACCACAAGTGCTTGCATGAACACTGCACAGCGACAATCCAACATCGTGACAATCATTACTTCAAAGTATTATCTTGAGTGTACACGAAGACCAACACCGTCATGGCAAATGAAAAGTAACAAGAGAAACAAATTCTACAGTAAAAAAAAATGCTAAGTGATGTCTCCAAATTGGGCAATATGCGAACACAAAATTGTTGCAAAAGCAGATTGCAAAGAAAAGGGGGAAAGGGTACATGCACATGATGTCGGACGGTATTCTGCATTGGTACGAATAATGAAAAAAGGCGGCGGTGGGGGGGGGGGGGATGTTTTAGGAAAATTGGACCCAAATAGCCCATATTTCATTGCTTCATAAATCACAAGATAAAAGTATTGGTGCGACTTTGGCCGCACCTGCCGCACCGGTTCCGACACCCCTGATGCAGCATTGGTCTGCAGTCATTCCCTCATGCACATCATAATTAGTATGTAGCCAACGGGAAGCGGCTCCTCATCGGCGAAGGTGTACTCGATAGCAGCACTGAAACGCAAGCGGCTAGCTAGAATACTGTGCAATGTACACTGTGGTCTACAAGCAGTACAATGCTGCTGACGCTAATACGTGAGGATAGACAGGACTAAGTGTGTATATGCACAGCTAGAACATGTAAGACATGCATAGGAACTTAGGGCTGGACACTGCCAAAATAGAATAATCATGATAATATCTGATCCCAACCAGTGATAACAGAAATTACAGAATACTAAAAAAAAGACACAAGGGAAAGTATTGGGAGGGTGGGTCTGCTAGCGCAGAATACACCCAACCGGGTGCAAATTCCTTTCACCTACATTCACTATCTAGATTGAAGAGAGAGAGAGAGAGAGAGAGAGAGAGAGAGAGAGAGAGAGAGAGAGAGATAGAGATAGTGTGTGTGTGTGTGTGTGTGTGTGTGTGTGCGTGTGTGTGAGTGTGTGTGTGTGTGTATGTGTGTGTGTGTGTGTGTGTGTGTGTGTGTGTGTGTGTGTGTGTGTGTGTGAGTGAGAGAGAGAGAGAGAGAGAGAGAGAGAGAGAGAGAGAGAGAGAGAGAGAGAGAGAGAGAGAGAGAGAGAGAGAGAGAGCATCAGGCAGGGGCAGGTAAGGGAGAGTGAGGCAGACCAAGAGAAGCGGTGAGCTCGCACACTGCATCTTGTAGAAAACAGCTGGGAAATATTGTGGAAATGAATGGAAGAATCAACAAACTGCTGAAGTGCATTGCTTCATGGTGAGGTCAAATTCAAATTAACAGCCTCTGCACCAGCTGTAGCAGAGGTTCGTGACATCGTGAAACTTCCGGTGAGGTGTGTGTTGTGTGTGTGTGTGTGGGGGGGGGGGGGGGGTGAGATGAATCATACCACACTGACTCTACTTTGTAAAATGAACCAGATAAGCAGGATACGCCTGGCCGTCCATGTAGGTGACAAAGATCGAAGGATTGCTGACATTATCCACAGCGACGCTCACCTTTCCTTTCTCGTGATTGCCATCCTCTCTCCACGGTGGTACGAACAACTTATCATGACCTTGCACCATATCAAGAACAGCAACATGAGCCAGTATCATTCGACATGTAGACGAGCCAGTTGGAGGAGCTGCGTAATTGACTGAGTAACAAGCATCACGCGCGAAATAGTTCCCTCGGCCATAAATAGCACCTAAATGCGCCAACATTAAGACACAAAACCAATTGAAAGCGTCATTGTCTTGTAAATTATTAGTCTGTTCTCCATGGGCAAGTGATCAGTGCGTGTTTTCAAAACAAACAGCATGGAGATAAACTTGAATGATATTAACACAATGAATAGAGTGAGTTGTGCACTCAGTACAATTGTTAGCTGCTCCCGGCTAATGATGCCCCCTCACACCGGAACACAGGGGTTTTATATGATTGGATAATTTATAGAAGTATTCGAGAAGAGTGTAGACAAGGAGAACAGGACAACGACAACTCAAGACTAGACTACAACAGAACAGAACCTGGAGCATGCGCTCTTCTATGTGAGTGGCTCATTGCCAAGGGGAACGAGCGGGAAATACAAATAGTGAGTATTCAGGTCGTAGCATACATACACCTATTACACTGTGCCCCCCTAGCTAAAATTCACGTCCACGGGAATGAACGAAATACCTAGGAAACAACAAAAGAAAACAAACCAAATAATAAACTCAGTCCAGGACATAGTCAGCTAGTCGAGCAGGTGCAGTGCGGACACGGCCAGAACGACGAGAAACAGGAGAAGAAGTACGGACCGGATCAGACGACGGTGGCTGTAGCGGCGGAACGCAGCGCGGCAAATCATCATCAGGCAGCGTAATCGGGTCAGGACGAGAAGCAGTAACGGCAGGCGGTTGACAGTCGGGAGGACGGGAAACGGCTTCAGGCGGACGAACAAACTTGCCACTGGCAGCATCATATCGGGTGAAACACTCAGACAGAGCAGGATCAGCATACGGAGCAAGAAGACTCTGAGGCTTGTAACAATCCGGCAACGGTCCAGCAGCAGAGGAACCAGGAGGACGAACAAAAACGGCCGGAGGAATAATCTCAGCAGCCGGAGGAACATCAACAGCAAGTGGCACTTCATCAGCAGCTGACAACGGAACATCACGGGCAAGAGGCGGCGGACTCGGCGGAGGAGACGGGGCAGCATCTTGCGGCGGCGTTGGTGCCAGTGGCGGAGACTCACTGTGCACATGTGCTTCAGGTTCGGCTATCAAGCGCGACAGACCATCAGCATTCAGATGTTGGCGACCTGGACGGTAGACGACTCGGAATTCATATTCGGATAAACAGTCAAGCCAACGTGCTTTCCGTCCGCGGGGTTCCTTCAGGTTCCGGAGTGCAGTCAACGCAGTATTGTCCGTCCTGGCAACTAATGGTCGTGCCAACAAGTAGTGCCTGAAATACTCCGCAAAATAGACCAGAGCAAGGGCCTCACGATCGCTAGCATCGTAGTTGCGCTCAGCTTTCGTCAGTACACGGCTGCCGTACCCAATTGGTCGCTCAGTTCCATCCTGGATCTGGCTGAGGACTGCACCAATCGACACATTGCTCGCATCGGTGTCCAGAATGAATGCACCTGCTGAATCTTCAAACTGGGGGTACGCCATCACCGGCGCACTGGCAAGCGAACGCTTCAGAGCCTGGAACGCCGCTTCGCAAGCTTTCGACCACGCAAAGCGAGCATTCTTGCCTGTCAGAGCAGTCAGCGGAGCAGCACGCTGGGCGAACCCACGGATGAAGCGGCGATAATATCCAGCGAAGCCAAGGAACTCGCGGACAGCTGTGACAGATTTCGGAGTCTTCCAGTTCCTGACCGCGACGAGTTTGGCCTCATTCGGGGAGATGCCCTCCGCTGACACGCGGTGTCCTAGGAAAGTGACCTCCTCCTGGAAGAAGGAGCATTTCTTCAGATTGAACCGCAGTCCAGCGGACCGAACTCGCGCGAACACGGGCAGCAGAATCTGGAGTTGGCCAGACAGTGTTTCGCTGGCATTCAGGACATCATCAAAGAACACACGGCAGAATGGCTGGGCCGGTGTGTTACATAAGCCACTCAGGACTGCTTCCATTACGCGCTGAAATGTCGCTGGGCCATTCCTGCAGCCCATCGGCAGAACATTAAACTCAAACAAGCCCAGTGGCGTGGTAAATGCCGTCTTAGCCTTGTCGCTTCCTTCCATTGCTATTTGCCAGTACCCTGACGCTAAGTCAAGGGACGTGAAATACCGACAGCCAGACAGGGAATCAAGCATGTCATCCGCCCGGGGAATCGGGTAAGCATCAGGCTCGGTGACAGAGTTCAACTTCCTGTAGTCGATACAGAGTCGAAGAGAGCCATCCTTCTTTGGCACCAATACTATGGGTGATGCCCACGGACTAATCGATTCTTGTATTATGCCTTGCTTTAACAGCGTATTCAGTAGATCTTGCAGAGCCTTCCGGCGGTGATATGGAATCCGCCTGGTAGGTTGTTTTATAGGGTTATTTTGTCCTGTGTTAATTTTATGAGGGAATATGTCACAGTAGCCATAGTCATCATCATGCAAGATAAATAAATCGTGGTTATCATGAAGTAGTTCAGTGAGCGTGCGAGACTGTTCTGTGGAGAGATGATTTTGTGCGTTGATATATTCATCGATGACTTTCTTGCGTTGCTCAGTTAGCGGGATCGGGTCGGGTGAAACTGAGGAAACCATAGCTTCAGTGTCGTCAATATGTTCACAATCTGTAGGAATTTGATGAAGTTCGGCAACATTGGTATTTTTATGAATGATTATAGGATGATTTGCATGATTTTCAACAGCCACAACCACACGTGTTTGGTTAGGGCCAACAGTTACAAGACTAGGAGTCACTGCCACATCTGGATGCTTCGCCATAAAGGACTCCAATGGATCTGCCACGCAATCCATCGCAACCGTGCACACATCAACAGCTGCACAAGGCACCAAGACAACATGTCCTGCAGGTACCGACAACTCCATCTCAAACACCACACGAGATGAGTATACCACAGGGTCGGCCACACTTTCGGGCGCACACGCCGGGACAACGCCAGGTTGAGCCATGGGTTCAACAACCCGTGCAGACAATGAATCGTCAAGGGCAACACGAGAAGAATACGACGAAACAGGTACATCGTCGGAGCATGCATCAGAATCAGAATGAGGAGTATGAGTATTACATGAGGAGGAAGTATTACGCGGAACAATACGATCATAGGGCGTACGTGACGGAGGACACCCAGAACCAGAAACATGCAACGGAACAGACACATCGCCAAACATCACAACACCACAAGCAATATCTAATACACCACCATGCTGCAACAAAAAATCGGAACCAAGAATCATGTCGCAGTGAATACCAGGAGAGACAACAACCGTGTGCTGGAAAGACAGATTTCCTAGCGACATACACAGATCCATGGATCCAACGACAGGAAGTTGTGCGCCATTGACTGCACACAACCGCGGAGCAGACTCTAGAGGAGGTCGCTCTGTCAAATTAGGCAACAATTTAGAATGCACTAACGACACACTTGAACCCGAATCAACAAGAGCAACAACAGGAGACGAATACGAAGACGAAAGACAAACATCAACGTGCACAATAATGGGTGAGATCGCACCACATACCTCCTCGAGGGGCTCCACTCGGACGACTGACGGCGGCCCCGTGTCACCAGTCCAACCTAGTTTTTTGCGTGCGGGCAAGATGCAATGAAGTGGCCCTCTTCACCACATCCATGGCACACTCCACGGACAGGCCTCGCAAAACTCTGGCCACGACCACGACTAGGCGCACCAGCACCAGCACCACGAGCAACAAAACGTACATGGTCTTGCTGGGGTCGGGTGGGGCGATACAGACTCACGCTCTCCATTTTCGCCTCCAAAGCAGAGAGACGCGAATCAAATCTCGACAAAAGCGAAGCCAACTGGTCTCGCTCAGATTCCGACTTCAGTGGACCGACTGCTGTGTAGGGGTCACGACCATGAGCAGTGCGACGGGGCTTCACTTCCGGAGCAGCAGCAAATACGGGCTGTGCGTGCTGGTGAGGTACGGTGCGGCTGCTCGCGAGCATAAATAGCACCTACCTCGATGGCCTTTTGGACCGCCGCATCCAAATCAGTGGGCCGAGGTGACGCCAACGCCAAGCGCAAATCCTTCGATGCCTGGCCATGCAGGGAGTCGTACTCAAACTAGGGAGGTGACACGGCACAGAAATCCGTGTCACAGGGGTTGACTCGCACCCGTGACCCCTCGTTGTTATTTTTGGAATAGTTCAGTCCAGTCCAGTCCGAAAGGTCATACTCGGATCGACTCGCCTTCTGTACTTCACCTCCAAGCGTGCAACGCAAGACCCGCAAAGTATGATTTTTCTGTGGCGAACGATTTTGCCATTGATCAAGTTTTTATTGGAGTGCTCAGGCATACTACGATTGCTGAGACGTCCCGAGCACGCTTGTTCAGGTTCTCTATTTTTGACGAGCCGGTCCTACAGCCCCCTACATTGTATCTAACGACGTAGGAGCTGACAATGTAAGAGGATTTCCCTGGAAATAATGATGATGGTGGTGTGACTGCTGCAGGAAAAATGCTGGCTGTTTATGACAGTATGACTAGATGTACAATGTAGCTCTCTTGTATGGTACTTAACCCCTGCTATAAATGTGTTGTTTAGGAAGACTGGTGTATTGTGCAAGTCATAAGGAAGAAATGGGGCAGATACATGACTTACAATTATCAAAAACCAGCTTCGTGTTATATGTAATTTATGTCAAAATTGTAGTATTTAGACATGACAATATCATTGGCTGTACTTCTCTAATATGGTACATAACCTGTTCCAGTAGATCCCGTAGGTTACCGTTTGCTAGGTCGATGTATTGTGTGCTGACCCGGCACATGTGAGCATGATGCTAGTACTGACTAGACACTGTTAGGACCTGTCTAGACATGCGATTGTCTGTACCGTAGCATTAATCTAGTACATGCATGGCATCAAGAGTAGATAAACAAGAGTGTGCAACTCCGGATCTCTCCTGCACAATCTGCAGATACTCCCGCCCACGGCGGAATTTTTTGTTGACGTCACCTTTTTTCAGAGAAACGCGGACTTTGCCGCAGAGCAGTGTGAGAGCACGT